CTTTTCTATCCGTGTAATTACATAAAAGATCAGTAGGATCGTTTTTTAAAGTGTCGATTTGAAAGGTAGAGATTTTAAGCTGTAAAATGTTTTTTTGGACATCTCGATACGATCATTTTTGACAAAGTTACACTCTCTTGAATTTTGCCTATTTTTGGAGGATAGAGTAAGTGATGCTTTAATTTTGTTGAGAAGTGTATTAAAATAAGATTGAACTATAATTGATATCCATATTTAGAAGAATTTCAAAATTAAAAATAAATCCAAATAAGATCGATTTAATGATACAGAATTAAAAATCTAAATAAAGTGAAACGTAAATGAATGAAAACTAAAAAAATTCTAATCTAAAATATTTTAGAAACCAGAAAAGAAGTAATATTACTATGAGAAATTTAGAAAGATTATAAATTATCAGATTATAAGTAATTCTTTGTACTAATTCGTTTACTAACTCTTATCTTTTCTATATTGCTTTCTAAATATGAATTTTACTTCTATCTTTTATATTTGTTGAAATTTTATCAAATTAATCTTTATGATAATGATTCCGAATAGTAAAATATTTCTTACTTTAAAGCGTAAGGTGAGAAATACTCCGAAGATCGATCTACAGCATAAATCATATAGTAAAATCCACCATCTTTTTGCAATTGGTCTATCAGATCCAATTGATTTATTATAAATAAATTAGATTTTGTCGTATATTTTGTTTTATTCTTCTTAATAATATCATTTCCTAAATACATATTTATGATTAAATATTTGTAATATATTATATGTATTATATTACATTTTTAATATATTATAATATAATATGGAATATAATATATCATACACAGTGCATTCATAAAGTTCCAAAACTGAATTTTTTTGGAGACACTAATAACGCCATCTATACAATGATGGCTAATTAGTATAAAGCTTTGTTAGTTTCCCACATTTTTTGTTTGGCGTCGCCATCGGGTAAATTGTTTATGTACAGTGCATATTTCAAACTTGCAAGATTTATTGGCTTATCACGTTATACTTAAAAAATAATAATGTATTTCTGCAGAAGCTTTATCTGTCCGGTAAAGGATACTGTAGCGTCTGTGTCAGTACAAACGTCTTTTGATCGTCATATAGCAAAAGAATATACTTGGCGGAAGCCGTTACCGCGTCTCCTGATAAATTCCACATTTTCAAAATGGTTTTTTTAAGATTTTTATGCCAATCTGTGATTTTTTCTTTTTATTTTTTTGTGCGCCATTCAAATACCTTACTGTGACTTGAACAGTCTTCTCCGTATGCATTTGCATCATTGCGAACGTTTCTCATGCGCTTTTCCCATAGTTGAAACGAAACTTTAAGCTTTTTGCTCCAAATTCGTTGCTCGAAAGAGTGACCTCAAAAATGCCCTGTATTCTCGCCCTCGATTCCGGACTTTATTTTGATGATAAATGATAGTAAACCATGAGACACTAATCCTCTGGAACTTTCAAATGGAGCCTACTCTTTGTTGGCAAGTTATGAAGCCTCAAAGTTATCATTTTATACCGTGTTTCTCAAAACGGATCTTTGCAAGCGAATAGCTTTTAGGCAAAGCATTTTTGAAAAAATGTTTCAAACAAAAGTAGGATGTGAAAAGATACACAAAATGATGACCTTTACTGTGACCTTGAAAAAAATACTTCCTAATAATCATTTCACTCCCAAACGTTACTTTAAATAAAAGTTCTCATTTAAAAATCAAAAGTTGACCTTCAAATGACCTTGAAGACACTCCAAGGTCATTTGAAGGTCAACTTTTGATTTTTAAATAAAAACTTTTATTTAAAGTAACGTTTGGGAGTGAAATGATTATTAGGAAGTATTTTTTTGGACTGGGGGTAGAATAATAGAGGTGGCTTTGGGGTCGAAGTTGGTTTCATTACTTTTCTTGTTGTTTATGTCTACAATAAGAAAAAGTTTCCACTCTTCTACTTGCTTGCAAATAATTTTTAGGAAAAGCATTTCGCATAAAAGTTTCAAATAAAACTTGTAAGGGTTGTAAGGTAAAAAAGGCCATGTAAATGTAAATGGAAGGATGCCTTTACTATGGCGGCATGGCTGCGCCACATAATCGCGCGCGCCATTTGTACGGCAAAACGCCTATACAGCGGTTACCCGACATACAGCGCGCTTTCTTGCGTACTCGCGGAAACGTTTTCTCGCGAACGCCTTGAAGAGGAAGAAACAATTAGCACAATTGCCCACCAAGAGGCCTACAAAATATTACTTTCTTGTAAGGAGAAAACGTTTACACAAATAATAAAAAGGCCGAATTTCGGAGAATTCGGTAGACCAAGTTTTCTCGCAGAACACACGTTGTTGGACTATGAATCGACTGCCAGAGCTACTGAAAATCTTTTTGGGCGAACATCAGGCTACCCTCAGCACGCTGCCGCCAACAACCGCTACTCCGAACGGCTACGGGTCCAGTCTACGAGTAAGGCAACCAGGCCATGCCGAGTAGTAACGCCTAAGCGACGGCCACCGATCTCGCTTAAGGAACGTACGGAGCACGCCGAGCAGCAAGGAGCCACCAGCCAAAGAATGGAAGCTCGTTCCGATCACGCTTGAGAAAGCGACGCTGACGAGGCCACCACGCCTAACGCTAAGCTGAAGAAGATCCCCGAATACGGAGACCTACGTCGCCTCATTGGAGACCGGAGAGGCTATCTCCCGAGGTGAATCTGCAGTACGCACTTTCGTCGCCAGATGCAGCGTGGGAACCTCGTCGCACAGACGACAAGGCGACACAGACGAGCGAAACCTAAATCTACGATAAAGCTACGCAGACGCCTTTAACCAAGGGACAGCTACACTACACCAAAGCATTACCTCGAATATCGTGGTATCCGCGCAGACGGTAGTCTCCGCTACCATTTTTGAATCGGCTTTTTTCAGGGCCAATAAAAACTACGCAAACACATACTGTAAATAGTCACATCTGTATATAGCCACATTCTCATATTGTAAAATAAGGAATAAATCGTCGCATTTATTAATCAAAAGAAAAGACTTGTCGAAATTAATTAAGGCGCTCCTCGAATACGCGTGGGAATACCGCTCGCAAAACATATATCTAAAAATCTATGCAACGAGATAAAATTCGACAAAAGATCTGCGCTAAGATCTGGATTATCATCGTGGAGGACACATCACGGAACATCGCTGGTCGGAGTTCTTACTCTCCACGCAAAAATATACGCGAGCGTTCCCTACATTTACTTAGACCTTGAAGACATTTCTAAAGTTCATTTCAAGATCAAATTTAGCTTTTCCAGTCGGAACTCTTATTGTAGAAATAAACAACACGAAAAGTAATGAAACCAACCCCATTTTACCAACCCCATATTTGACCCCAAAGCCACCTCTATTATTCAACCCCCACTCCAAAAAAAATACTTCCTAATAATCACTTCACTCCCAAACGTTACTTTAAATAAAAGTTTTCATTTAAAAATCAAATGTTGACCTTCAAATGACCTTGGAGTGTCTTCAAGGTCACAGTAAAGGTCATCATTTTGTGTTTTCTTTCACATCCTACAACTTTTGTCTGAACATTTTTCTCAAAAATGCTTTGCCTAAAAGCTATTCGCATGCAAAGATCCGTTTTGAGAAACACGGTATAAAATGATAACTTTGAGGCTTCATAACTTGCCAACAAAGACTCCATTTGAAAATTTTAGAGGATTAGTGTCTCATGGTTTACTATCAATTATCACTAAAATAAAGTCCGGAATTGCGGGCGAGAATACAGGGCATTTTTTATCTGTTTTTAGGGTGACTCTTTGTGACAAGACTGACAAGCCAATAATTCTTGCAAGTTTGAAATATGCACTGTACATTTATTTAACTAAAAAGTTGCAACACTTTTTATTGTGATGGGTTTTGGAATGCAGCGGTTGAATGTAATTGTTAGGTCTATTGGTAGAAACCAATTGCTGGATGAACAAATTGTGTTCTGAAAATGATTAAACAAATGTTGCAACCTTTTGATGATTATACATGAACAGTTTACTCGATGGCAACGAAAAAAATGTGGGAAAGTTATAAAGCTTCGTACTAATTAGTCCCACCATTGCAATATAGATGGCGCTATTAGTACGTTCGGAAAAAATTTAGTCTCGTAACTTATTGAATGCACTGTGTATTATATTTTACATATAGGCATATAAAGTGTAACTGAAAAATATTTAAGAAGATGAGAAAGATATAAAAAGATGTTTTAAATGAAAGTTTTGAGATTTAAAAAAGATAAATGATAATACTAATTTATTATAACATTAAATGAGTTTAAAGATCAGCTATTTTTTAAATAAAATTATATGATTCTCTATATGTAACATAATTTATTTAACAATATTAATTTGAACGAGACCATGTAAGTAAATAACACATATTTAAGCGCTTTTTATAGTCACGGCTGTATCTTGGTGCCTAATAAATTCTATGAATTTACTCCATTATTTAGCTATTTTAAACTGCGCACCGAATTAATGTCGGACTTGCAACGCAATCATTAGCTGAAGCTGAAATATTGAGATGACAATTGATCTTCAATTTTTAATAATTTGATGCTTATAAGCATTTTACTACAAAGATTTTATAGCAAAAAATATTACCTCAGCCAGAGTTTGAACTTAAGATCTCTCGATCTTCCAGGACGGACATCTTAACCAACCGAGACATATGATAATATTTATCGCAATAACTAGTATATTGAGTGAGAACATATACTAGAGGTATGTATATTAAACAGTATTAATTTGAATAAGACCTCGAAAGTGAATAACACAATTACATTTAAGAGCGCCTTCTATGATTATAGCTGGTGCCTAATAAATTCTATATGAATTTATATCCATTAGTCAGCCATTTTAAACGGCACGCCAAATCGGAATTAATAACAGACTTGCAACGCAATCATTAGCTGAAGCTGGAATATTGAGATCGTAATTGATCTTCAATTTTTAATAATTCGATGCTTAGACATCTTAAAATACTGTGAAGAACTTATTTAGTCTCTCTATATAAAAATGTTGAATTGACAATGGAACACAAAAAAGTATTCCTCAGATTGCGACAAGCATTTAATGTTGTATTCTGTACCAAAATAAAGGACATATATTTTTTATCATATGATCGGTACGTAGTTTTAAGGAAAATTACATTCCTTATACTAAAAGAAAAATTTTTTTAATAAAAAAATACGTTTTCTTAAAACCATACTCCTTGATGCAAGTGTTTGTTCTGTTTAAGCAAAAATTTCGCATTTTTCCATCTTGTAAGTAAGTCTTTTAAGTTACTGACCAATAACCTAAAAGACTTACTTACAAGATGGAAAAATATGGAATATATTAGGGAAACGTTTGATCTCGGAAATGTTATACACAAAATGCCAAAAAAACAGTCTCAATTTACAGTCACGGAATTTTTACACTACGCTTATGTTTCCGCTTTTAATAAACTCTGATTTATGTTCAACAAAGTTACTTGACTTTTACATATATCGTTTGTCATTTGATCTTTTAAACACTGACAGTTGTGTGTACTTTTATCATTTTTATATACTGACCGTGACTACGTACATTTGATCTACTGGATTAATTTTACATTTATATAGTTTTTTTTTAATTTCTTAAACTCTGACTGTCTTTTAATTTAGAAATCTTTATTTATATTTATTTATTAATAAGTTGCGTTCCACGATGTGTTTTATTGTTTTCGTTCTCTTCACACTTGGTGAGTGCCTTATATGTACGAGTATTATTATGTATCAAGTTTATAATTATTATAGAACTGGGATGTCATAATTTTTAGGTTTTAATTTTAAGATCATTCAGCTTACTAATCGATCATAATAGGCACAAGTTGGATAATGCATTGATCTTGGCATATGTGCAGAGAAGGAAGACATCCTTTGAGCTTTTGTATAAAGATAATTCAAATCTGAGCCGAAACGTCTGTATTTAATAACTATTAAAAATTGAATATATTATTTGCACCAAGTATCGTGCTTGACTCTCATATCATAAACCTCTCCCATACAGCACACTAATGTTGATCAACATCTCAGAAACATTGAAT